AGTGTGTGAGCTTAATATCCAGTGTCTCCTTCAGAAAGAACTGGGAAAATTATCCTATATAGTCAATTTGCTAGGGAAGCGAGAAAAAGAAGATCATATTTGTTATAAAACTTCTGACCTCAATGGAGGGCTTGGGAGACAGAGTTTCCTCTTCCTTTTCCAGAAAACTGGATCATAGGGAAAAAAAATAGCAGAAGAGATTCTTGCTACCATTTGCCTGCTCCGTTTTAAAATCTCAGCGAGAGGTTTTTTACACTGCCTCCCCTTGAAGTCTTCTGCAAGGCTCAAGGGCTTGTGGGGGCAGAGCAGGGAGAAGAAGCCAGAGAAACAATGACACACAAGACACTTGCCCATAAAGAGAGCTGAGTATTGGTGAACTCGAGAAGGAAGATATTCATTTTACTCCTGAAAACTCCTAGGAAGGTCTGATTCTCAGCTTCATTGTCACCTAGCGGCTTTCTGGTTTTGGTCTTCAGGGGTCACTTACATATCACTAAGCTGACTACAGTCCTGAGGCTTAGAAAATTAAATTTTAAAAAGGACACACATCTTAGCAGTAAAGCAGACAAAATGCTAGATGTGAGGATACGAAAGGATGCAATAAGTGACTGCAACGCTTGTCCACATTCCCATCCTAAGTATCACAATACACAGGTGTATGCCATCATTCACCTTTTTCCTCTTCGTTTTCCCTGTTTAGTTCAGTGTAGACTGGCTCCTCCTGAAAAAAAAATATCCGAGATATTTCAGGATCTGAATAACCAACAGATGAGCGCAAACTGGATGCTCCCAGATGCTTGGTTGCAACTGAGAATGAAGACAGAACGTTAAACAATGGTTTGCAGAGAGGACAGCTGTCCGATAGAAAAACAAAATAAAAATAAAAATTAAAGACAATAAAAACGTTCCAGCACGTTAAAGACCAAGTACTATAGGAGGAGCTCCATATCACCAGGGGATTAGTTCCAAGCCCTCCCACCCTGGAGGCTGCAAATGGAAGATACCGTATTTGCCGGTGTATAAGGCAAATGGGCGTATAAGACCACCCCCCAACATTCCCACTCAGAATGTAGAGTTTGTTATATACTTGCTGTATAAGACTACCCCCCTCTTCCGCATGCGTGATTCTGCTTTGGCTGCATCATGGAGAGAGGCTGTTCGGAGGCTAGGAGCGGGGCTCTACTCGGTCTTACTACCAGGTAAGTGGCTTCGCTGGGAGAGAGGGAGGGTTTGTTGGACATGCACCCGGCGTACAAGACGACCTCCCCCACTTGGAGGCATGTTTTTTAGGGCCAAAAAGTCATCTTGCATGCCGGCAAATACGGTAATAGTGAATGTTATACACAGCATGATAAAAGAAAAGAAAAATCCAGGGAAAAAAAGCAATTTTACCACGTATTACCAGAAATAGCCAATAGAGGGAGGCAGAGATCATGTTATATATTCCAACATAAAATGGTTCTGGCTCCCTCTAGTGGCAAGGTCTGGTATATACACCATGAAAATATTTATTTCTAGTTTTCTTCTTTTCGTATTTTCAAACTGAGTATAAGTGAAAATGCAGATACAAGGGACCTTAAGTATGTTTTAATGCGAGCTTTGACATGCAGGATCCTTTGCTCACCTGTTCTTTCCCCATCAAGCCTCTCCTGACTTGCTCTTCAATGAACCGGGCTGTTTTCTCTTCGTCATCAAGGTCCTGCTTCTTCTTCTTCTCTTGCTCTTGCTGCCGACGGATCGTCTCGGGGTCTCTGTCGATATACTGGATGTACCAGCCTTTGGGTGTCTCGTCCACTTTACAATAGCCTGAAGGGTCATAGTGCAATAGTAAGGTGTACAACATGTGGATGGGGGAAATTGCTGCACAGCAACATCTGGAACACCACATCTTCCCTCCTTCTGCTTGAGGAATTCATAGTGCAATCCAGATTCAGAAATATGCTGGTTGTACTGTAGGCTATTGGGGATAAGTAGAAGCTTGTGCTGCCTGCAGAAATCCCATGTCAGCAGAAATGCCCTCCTGCTAACGAAACTCTGTTCTGATGGCCGATCTGATGGATCTGCCAACGGAACTGCTCTGTTAGCAAGGGGTGGAGAAGGAAGAGAGGGCAGGAACAAGTCAACTTTCTCTAGCCCGGGGACTGGAGCCTACTACAGTATGCCATCACTAAGCTAAGCCAATGTAGGGGTCAGATAGACACTCAGACATTCAGCCATTAGGAAAAAGGTGGCAGAAAGAGAAAGGTCCTGGGCTGTTTGCGGAAAGGCAACAAAGACGAGGCCAATCTGGCCTCCTGTGGGAGGGAGTTCCACAGTCTAGGAGCAGCATCAAAGAAGGCCTTCCCTATTGTCCTTGCCAAAGGCACCTGAGAGGGTGGTAGAACTGAGAGAAAGGCCTCTCCTTGGGATCTTAACACTTGGGCAGACTCATGAAGGGAGATGCAGCCCCCACTTCTAAATGACTGGAATACCTCGTCAATGGCTTAGTCATCGGCAGCAAGACCTTTATGGTGAAACTGATTAGTATTTTTGTCCCCACGCTTTCGCTTTCAGCCTTAATGGGACGTGCCTCCCAAGGGTGCCTCTGAAAATGGACACTGCCCTAGAACTCGAAGATGGCCTCCATGCAGTTGAGTCCATAATGACCAGCAGTTGCTCATGCTTTTACTCAAAGACGGCCTCCGTATGGTTGAGTCCATAATGACCAGCAGTTGCTCATCAATGTTTTAGGTATGAATATTTCCCAGTTATGCCTTGCGATAGATACCAAAATGCATCCGCTATGCTCCCTGCTTCCTCTTAGAGGAAGGTTCTGCAGAAATACGTTGACGGATCCGACATTATCCACCGAGCTTCACGGCAGAGCCAGGATTTGATACCACCTCTTCCTAACCTCAGTTCAGGGCTTGCTGATAAAAAGAAACTTCCTATGGAGAGTAGGGTACAAAGGCATAGCATCCAGACGCATAGGGAAAGCTATTCAACCACCCTTCTGGCCTCTCAGATCTGAACACATGTTGCTTACATACAGAGTTTCGAGAACAATTCTGGATCTGATCTTTTGTTTGTTTTTAAAGAAAATTGAGATTTTGAGAGTTTCGGGAACAATTCTGGATCTGATCTTTCGTTTGTTTTTAAAGAAAATTGAGATTTTGAGGAGGACAAATGTTCTGCTTGATGCATATGAGTCAGATGAGCGTGAAAGCCACTGAATAAAAGATGGGAATAATGGGCATTTGCAATACACTGTTTAGGTCTTTTTCACTGCAAGCATCCTTAAAAGCATATCTACTGAAAACAATTACCTTCTCGTCCAAGCCACTTGGTAAAATCTGTCAATGTCTCCCACTGGGTGGCATTCATATGGATGTGTTCCCGGTGACTAATATATTCATTATACACTATATTATTGTGGACTCTCTTTGTTCCTAAAATAAGAGACATTTCTATTAATTGCAGCTTTGATGCTGGACAGAAAATGCTTTAACAGAAATGCAATAAATAAGCTTTTATCATATCCAAGTTATTTACCAAATCGCCTTCTGAGAAGTTCTAAAAAATCGTTTCGGAACTCCCTAGGGGAATACAAAAGAAAGAACTGGTAACTTTTGAGGGACACAGAACTTTTCATTAGAAAAACACTTGGTCTCCCATCTCTCAAAGGCATTGTGAGGCTTCTTTTTTCTGGACCACAGTGATACCGTGGACACTGAAATTCTCAGCAGGTTCAGAAAACTTATTTAAAATATTTCTCGTTATTTATTTAAAACCTTTCTGTTTAAAAAGGACCCATCATTAAAAGACAGTATTTAAAGCTAACAACGGTGAGCATGCAAATACTGAAAAGGTGCAAACAAATGCCACATTAAAAAAAATACAGGAAACAAAAGCAACAGCAGAACACATTCAAACTAGTAAAGTAATACAAAGCCATTTAAAAATCCACTGAGGCTTACTTCATTAAAAAGACAGTATTTGACAGCTAAAAATAGAAAGTATACAAATAGTTGTTGTAGGTTTTTCAGGCTGTTTGGCCCGAAAAACCTACAGCAACCATTGGATCCCGGCTGTGAAAGCCTTTGATAATATAGTATAGTATACAAGTAGTTTAAAAAAAGAATTAAACAAATATTACTTTAAAAATGGTGAATGAAATCAACACTAAAAAAATCAACACTATAATACAAAATGTGTATGTGTATTCTTTCTACAAATTGTGGAACACCCACGTATTTTTAAAATGGCTAACTCTCAGTTTGTTGAAATTCTCATTGAACTCCAAAGGTATTGCCTAAACCTATTGAACACAACCTATATTTTTTTTGTTTTATTCATCTGGATGAGGGCTAATAACTTACTTCAATGAGTAAGATATTCTATTCCTTGATTGAAATGGTCCCATTCAACTACATGGAAATGCTGCTTGTTTGCGGTAGATAATCTGTGCACATCCAGACTGAGGCGGTATTTTGTGTGGGCACAAAAATTTGCACAACTGAATGTGTTTTGGGGTGGCTTATGTTTCTCGGTATTATATTCATTGATCCTTTTAGTATGGATACTCCCTGTTACTAACTTAAATTCCATTCTGTAATTGTCAGAAGCCGCCTTGGGCCTTTTTAAGGAGAAAGGCGGGTTATGAATATTTTAAATAAAGAAATAAAATAAAGGCTATACTCCAATTTTCTGAAGTCACAAAAAGCAAGTCTCAAGGTAAGAGATACCGAGGATTAACTTTTTTCTCCAGATTGTGATTAAAGCTTACAAAAGCAACAAGAGGAAGAGGAAAATCAATGGCAACTCACTCTGAAAAGTAATCCATGAATTGCTGGGGATTTTCGGAAGCAAGCAGCAGCTGTCGCTGGTGAGACTCTGACATGCAATGACATTTGAAGCCATTCTAGAAAAATAAAACGAGAATGCTCCCTTCACAGGGCTGGCAAAACATGTTCATGCTGCATTTTATGACAAACACACGCACCCCACAAAAAACAAGCAATTGGGAAGAACTGAAATGAGTGAAATGTTCGATTGGTATGGAAATGCAAGAATGAAGAAATTGTGAAGGCACTGGACTGCAAATCCTTGGCTCCATCATCAGGTCTCTCCATGTCCAAGTACAGCACCGTGTAAGAATCCTGGACAGAGGTTTCCAAACTTGGGCCTCCAGATGTTCTTGGACTACAACTCCCAGAAGCCTTCACCACCACCTCTGCTGTCCAGGATTTCTGGGAGTTGAAGTCCAAGAACATCTGGAGGCCCAAGGATGGGGACCGCTGCTTTAGTGCAGTGATTCCCAAACTTGCGTCCCCTGATGTTCTTCGCCACTAGCTGAGCTGACCAGGAGCTCTGGAAGTTGTAGTCTAAGAACATCTGTGGATTGAAGGTTGGGCATCACTGCTCTAGTGTAGCAAAAGGAAATGTGATCTCTCCCCCCCCCATGTTGTTGGACTGCACCTGCTATTAGCAACACAACTGATGCTGAGAGATCACAGGATTTGCTGTCCAGCACCATCTGGCAGGGATGGTGACCCAAGTGCCAGGCCTTGCTGTCAAGTCGGGCTTCAGTTGTACCAGTGACTCAATTCAAACTTGACTTGGGATTTTTTCTCTCCAATGACCCAGACTCGACNNCAGAAGCCCCCCACCTCTTTTGCGCGGGGGGGGGGGGGAGAGAATCTTTTAATAGGGACTCCGATTTGGGACTTGGTACCAAAGACTGATGGATTCAAGATGCTGGACTCAAGATGTGGTGCTGGAGGAGACTCTTGAGAGTCCCCTGGACTGCAACGAGAACAAACCTATCCATCTTGAAGGAAATCAACCCTGAGTGTTCACTGGAAGGACAGATCCTGAAGCTGAGGTTCCAATACTTTGGCCATCTCAGGAGAAGAGAAGACTCCCTGGAAAAGACCCTGATGTTGGGAAAGTGTGAAGGCAAGAGGAGAAGGGGACGACCGAGGACGAGATGGTTGGACAGGCTGATCGAAGTGACCAACATGAAATTGACAGACCTCCGGGAGGCAGGGGAAGACAGGAGGGCCTGGCGTGCTCTGGTCCATGGGGTCACAAAGAGTCGGACACGACTTAACAACAACTAAAGACTCGGACTTGGGACGTGGAGCCAAAGACTGGCCGACATCCCCGCTATGGGGGTGAGGGGAAGCACAGGCTCCTTCTTCTGACATAGTCTAGCATCTTGAGTCCATCTGACAGTGAGAAGATGCCCCTTTTATTTTAAGAATAAAAACCAGATGGCCAGGTAAGACAACCACCCCGCAACGTGAGGTCCAGCCCCCTCCCTTGAAACATGTCTAACCCAAAGGCTGTGGGACGGGATGTGCTCAGGCTGCCACTCCCCATCGCCTGTCGCCTGGGCATCCAAAGGGAGTCTGGGTGCCTGTCTCTCTGTTTACTTACTTCAAGGCTGCACACATGATGTGACCTAAACTACCTCCTCCCCCCCCTCCTGACAACAACCCTGTGAAGCTGGACAAGATGGGAGTCAAGTGACAGAGCTAAGGGGGCTCCCAGAAGACCTGGTGCTCTCTTGGGGCCCAGAAGCTGGAACTCCCAGCCCCTCACCTTAACGATCACTCCAATTCCCCCCCCCAAAGGACTGAAAGTCCACCAATTCCCCACGACTCCTCATCTAGGAGAAGGAAACAGGGCTTCCGAATAGGGCAGACACTCAATTATCTCTCCCTTTCCCTTCCCCCCCCCGCCCCCGCCCCAATGCCTCGTTTGCGCCCACACAGATAGACTTCTTCTGCCCCTGGAGGTTCCACGCCTCGCTCTCACCTCGTCCCGGCACTGCTTCTGGCACATCTGGCAGTACCAGCGCAGTTTCTGCAGCCCCTTCGACTTGATGCGGTTGGCGATGGCCTTGGGGCTGAGGAAATCCGTCTTCCCCATGATGCGGACCCAGGAGACAACCTTCTACACCACCCCCAAAATCAACAGCACCTTTTATTTCCCCGTTCTCTTCCGGGAAGAGGCGATGACCCGGAAGCAGAAGTCATGCCCCCGACACCATAGAGTCCTAAAGGACTGACAAATGACGCTTGGCCGCACCTTTCAGACTCAAAGAGGACCCGGGCTTCCCCCTCGAATAAACAGCCCCTAAAGAGGTGGGTTGTCGGGGGTTGGGTGGTTGCCGCTCTAGCCTCTCATCTCCACGGCACAGGAAGACTCTGAGGAAATGACCGCCGGAGACCGGAAAAGACGTCATCAGGATCCCGGAAATGGCCCGTGAGATGGACAGCTTCCATAGAGTCGGCTCAAAAGAGGCGCCGCCTGAGCCGGAAGTGGTCGGCATTCTCCTCCCGCCCCTCCCCGCTTCCGGCTTTCCGTCCAGGGAGCGAGCGGAACCGGGGCGGGAGCCTCGCGGCGCATGCGCCTTGTGCTGTCTCTGACCTTCAGCAGCCGGGGCCGGGCGGGCAAGCGGGTGAAGGAGGCCGAAGGCAGGCGGGAGCCGGAGAGAGAAAGAGAGAGAGGCGCCCCCGGTGCCCTTGAGAGGAGGAGGAGGAGGAGTCATGATGTTCTCCCGAGGAGCCGTCCTGGTGGGCGGCGCGGTCTTCTCCCAGCCGCAATGGTACTCCTTGCGAGGAAGGGAGGGCGGGAAAGGGCCTGGGGCTCCGCATCCCCCTTGGGGGGCTTGGGTTTGGCTGGTGTCACTTGGGAGAGGGAGGCGCTTTGCACATGCCCAGAGGCACCTCCAACCTCCCCCTCCCCCAAAGCTGTGCTTGCAATACCCAGAGTTTTAAATCCGGCTTCAGTTTTTTTTAGAAAAACTACTTCTTTGGGTATATTTCTGAGGGCCTTGAGTTGCAACGGGGGAAGAAGACGTGGAGGGGGACGTTGGGCCTGGATATGTGGAACTCCAACTCCCATCATCTCAGGGTCGTTGGCCACGCGGCAGGGGGCTAATGGGCTCTGTGGTCCTGCACTGTGGGACCCCGGGTTGAGATGGGTTAGGGTCTACACACCATATTTTATTTATTTTATTAGATTTATACCTTGCCCATCTAGACCAAATGCCAGATGTTCACTAACTCAGGGGTAGTGATTCTCAAACTGGGCTGCCCAGATGTTCTTGGACTGCAACTCCCAGAATTCCTGGCCATTACAGCAAGTGGTGAAGGCTTCTGGGAACTGTAGTCCAAGAACCTCTGGGGAGCCCAATTTGAGAACCATTGGGTCTCTGGCTGTGGGAATTTGATTCTCCCCCTTGCCTCCCTGACCAACTCGATGATCCATAGGGTCCCTTCCAGCTCTGCAGTTCTCAGATGATGATGGTCAGTGGGTAGTTTAAGAGGTGTTGGGAAACTATCCTATGCAATGTATCTCTGTCGGCATAAAATGTTCCAGGGCCTTGCAAAAATATTACTTTTGCTCACGGCATATTTAGCAAGTGTGAAAGGCATTGTACAGGGTTTAGGAAAATGCCACCTGTCGTGAAGGGCATGTCTGTGTGCCGCTTGTGATTCTTGAAGGGTGCACACAGGAGGAAAAACCCCCACACAGTCAGTGAGGTTTTCAGTGCAGCTGGTCATGGATGTGAAAATGGAGGCAACATCTCACCTTCACTAGAATAACAGTTCCAGCTCCATTCTTTCACCCCGGAGGAATGGATAGCTATGGGAGAAAGGAAAAAGCTGTCAGTTGGCATGCTGGTTCTGTTTCTGATGACTTTGGCTGCTGGGGATAAACCCTTTTCCTGTTTTCATAACCTTCAACAATGTACTGTTTCTTGGTCAGGCTGGAGTTTAGCAGAATCTCTGAAGATGGTATACCCGTACTGTATAAAAAAGATCCTTTGTATAACAGCCATGATAAAGAAACAGTAATGCCTTGAAATAATCTAGATTTCTGCTGAATTCTTAAAGATAGGGTTGATAGACCAGCTGCCTGATCTTCTCCATGTTTGCTTAGTAACAAGTCTGTTTTAAATCAGATATAGTTGTGTGCATGCAAGCGCAGAAACATGTATTCCTATATGCACATATTCCTATATGCAATTTTCAGATAAATTTAGAAGTTCCAACTATATCAAGCTGTGCAGCAGCTATATTATATTTGTATTGAATGAGGAGTAAGAAGCAATGCTTTCAATTGCTAAAATGTGCAATGTGTGTTTCATTTTTCAGGGTCCAAGTTAGGAATATGGCAACCTTGAAAGACAGTGAGTATTTTTTTAATGTGTTTTGTCTGGGGGCAATAGATTAGGAGGCATAGACTTCACTTTGTTCAGAAACCTTGACTGCCAAATTCATGTTTAGTGAAATAGCTTGTTTTGTAAGTTGACCAAATTGTCTTCTCTGTTCTCCATACAATTAGTAATTTAGTATAGCTTGTCTGTGCTTTGAAGAGAATTCAGACTTCAACAGGCTCTGTTAGCATAAGGAGACTGCAGTCCTCAGGGAAGTTGTTTTAAGAGTTGTAGGGTGGAGCAGTTCCATCCTGACATGCAGCTCTTTGCACCTGATGGAACCTCTTCGTACTTTGCCCTTGATGCTCCTACGGCAAAAAGTGGGTATTTAAGGAGGCTGCATTGGGAGAGGCTGTGGAATAGCTGGATCCAATGCCATCATATTCCATCAGAACACATGAGGAATGTAGGGGGTAGTGGAGTTGACACCCTCCTCCATGTTCTAATTGGTCAATATGAGACTAGGAGGGCTCCAGATTTGGTGATTTCTCCATTGTGGATTTTCCTTCCTAGAGCCCTGCTGGATTACTGTGTTAGTAATATTCGCCCAGAGTGGTAGAATATGCCAGATGGGCGGGATATAAATCAAATAAATAAATAAATAGATAGCCATGTTGTTAACGTGAATGGATGTATTTAGGGAACAGATTACAGTGGTGCCCTGCATAGCGACATTAATCCGTTCCAGATTAATCGTCGCTGTGCAAAAACATCGCTAAACGGAAGAGAAAAAGCCATAGGAACGCATTAAACTTGGTTTAATGCGTTCCTATGGCTCCCAAACTCATCGTTCAGCAAAGTTCCTCCATAGTGCTGCCATTTTCGCGCCCTCGGTAAGTGAGGGCAGGGCGCGAAAACACTTGCGGCGGCCATTTTGGGCACCTGGCGGCCATTTTGGAACCGCAGATCAGCTGTTTACAAAACCATTGCAATGCGGAGAACGGTAAGCAAAACGCTTACCGATCATCGCAATGTGATGTTTTACCTATTCAGAACATCGCAATGCGATCGCATTAGCGATCTAAAAAAATAGATTGCTATGCGGATTCGTCATTAAACGGTGCGCTCGTTAAGTGAGACACCACTGTACTGCTTCTTACTCTGAATGAGATCTGACTGATTTATATTGAAGTAACATACCTTTTGGATCAGTACTGTTCACTAAGCCAGCTGCATAACAAACACACACCATTCTTCTACTGATAAGCAACGATTCCCAACCATGGGTCACCCAGGTGTTCTTGGACTGCGATTCCCAGAAGCCTTCACTACCAGCTGTGCTGGCCAGAGTTTCTGGGAGCTGCAGTGCAAGAACACCTGGGTTACCCAAAGCGGGGCACCATCGATCTATTTGAAAGACCATTGTTCTCAGCTACTTCTATAAATGTCTGCCTAAAACCCTACCCCAGCTCATCCTCTCTCATTTGCTCAGTTACCCGGCGCCTGAAGTCAATCAAGAACATCCAGAAAATCACCAAATCCATGAAGATGGTTTCTGCGGCAAAATACGCGAGGGCCGAGAGAGAGTTAAAGCCTGCAAGAGTGTATGGAGTTGGAGCGTTGGGTAAGTGGAGGAGTGGCCTTTTTGTGAGTCAGCTTGCAACAAGTTTTTAGTTCTTTTGGAAATGACTTGCTTAGGTATTGAACTGTGTGTTTTCTGACTTTCTGATGAAGTACTTGCAGAAGGTTTGTATTAGCCATCTTGAAAACCACTTTTTAAATCTGGCTTCCCTCTGAACCACCCGAGGTGGTGATGACAGAAGTATTAACAGTTCTTTTCAGTCTCATAATCTTTCCTCCTTATCTTTAGAAATACAGAATCTGCTCTGGCTTTGGGTAGGTCACTAGATGTTAGCAAACTTACCTTTGCAGTCATTAGCATGAGAAATTTGTGGAAGGTCTATCTTTGTTCGTTCTTTATTCGTATCAGAGTGTTGCACAAGTCAGCAAATTTACAGTTCGGCACTTCCGGAAGCGAAGGATTGGCCGGCTCCATGCTGCTGCACATGGGATGCCCAAATGTACCTTTAATGCTTTCCCACTCTTTGAGGAGGCTTCTTCTATTAAGATCAAACTTTCAGAATGCTGTATTTTGCAGCAGGCAGGCAGGCATCCTTCAGTCTCGAGAGACTATGGCAACGTGCTCTGTATGGAGGACTTCGAACAGCATTTAGTGTGGCTGAGAAGACCAATTTGAGGGTGACCATCCCTTCCACACTGAAGACAAATACAATCTGTCCCCTGTCCAGCTCCTTGATTTTGGCTGGGTTCGGGACTGCCTCTTCGCCTCAGCCTGCTGGACACTTCAAATTGGCACTGCTTAGGAAAATCTGTGTAAAATGCATACTATATTATTAATATCTCCTTTGCTCGTCTGTAGCATTTTAGTTGCATTGCAAGTGTAATTATTGTGAGCAAAAGAACTGGTGCCAAATTATTTTCCCGTAAAAACAAAAGGAAGGGCATCTTCAGGGCTAGCAATATATTTTGGTATTTTTTTTTTAATTTGTAGACAGTAGTTCACAAAACCAATGGTATGAGCAATCTACAGTGGTGCCCCGCATAGCGAGATTAATCCATTGTGGATTAATCGTTGCTATCCGGAAACATCGTAAAACGGAATGTAAAACTCCATTTAATGCGTTCCTATCGGGGGAAAACTCACCGTTGAGCGAAGATTCCCCATCCGGCCGCCATTTTTGCACCCTTGGTAAGCGAGGGCAGCGCGCGAAAACGCTGCAGGCGGCCATTTTAGGCACCCGGCGATCAGCTGTTTAAAAAATCATCACAATGTGATGTTTTGCCACTTAAAACATAGCAATGCGATCGCATTAGCGATCCCAAAAAACGGAGGCACCACTGTATTAGCCTTTTAAGAGTCACTGGGCTTTTAGTTATCTAGGTACCTCTGGGTAGTGTGGGCGGCATATAAATTGAATAAATAAATAAATAAAAACGTGACTGTTTTTGGGGACCTATAGAAATGGCCCTTGTCGTCTAATATCTTAGTGTCATTATTGTCACCCTTCACCCCTTTTCCAGCTCTCTATGAGAAAGTGGAAATCAAGGCACCTGAAGACAAGAAGAAGCATCTTATCGTTGGCGTGTCCTCCGACCGAGGCCTGTGCGGTGCCATCCACACCTCAGTTGCTAAAGCAATCAAGAGTCAATTTGCCACCCTGACAGAGGGGGGTAAAGAAGTCATGGTCGTTGGAGTGGGTGACAAGCTGAGAGCCATTCTTCAAAGGTAAACGGAAGAAGACTCCCTCCTTTGAGCATTGAGGCTTACTCTTCAGTGCTAAATACCTCTTGTGTTTTTTGAGATTTTAACATAAGGCGATAATATTCAGTTGAAAACTGTCGAGGGCAAACCTCACTGTAGGATACGTTTGACAGGACCACGCTCAGCCACTTAGAAGATGAGATATTAAGGAAGGGTTGTATCCAGAGTACATCATACCTGCGGGGGCCCTCTTTCATGCTAGGAACCAAATTCTATTGCACAGAAGCTCTCGTGAGCTGTGTTCCAGGGATGCGCAGGGCCAAAGGCAAAAGAGTGAGGTCAAAAATATCAGCATTTTAAAAGTTTGGGGCTCTTGCTGCCAGTAACTAATGGCCTCAACCTTCTAGAATAGAGAATGGGCATATGGAAAAGCAGGGAAGATACCGGACAATGGTGTAGTGAGGGACAGGGTGTGGAAGTGTCGTATTTGATCTATAGGGTTTCACATCCTTGGCATAATAGATGGGGGGGGGGAATTGGGATGTGCTCATGTTAGCTGGAACATAGATGGAAGAGGAAGAATGATGGGCTGGAATACATAAGGAGATGGGGAAGGGAAAGAGAGGTTGCTCAGTTGGCTAATGCTGGTCATGGGAGTGAAACTAAGAAAGTGGAAGTGTCTGATTCTTAGGAGAGAGATGCAGATGTTTCCACATGGAGCACCTGGCACATACTGTTTCAGAAGCATTTACAACAAACCACCAGCGCTATTTTTTTTCTTTTGTGGGGCCCCAGGTTAGCTTTGGAATAACCCCACTGAGGTTATTGGGGAACGTGAGTGGTGTTTTAAAACTGAGCACGGATTTCTTGTATGCTTTCTTAGACAGGATTCCTCATGTTCTTCTTTATCTCCTACCCTCCTTTTCGTCAGAGATTCCAAAAATAGTGAATACCAACAAGCAGCTATAAGATGACAGCTGCTGGCAGTGTATTGAAAAGTAGGAACAACAAAAATAAAAAAGAGCAAAACAGTCCAGGACACTCAACAACATCAGAAATCAGAACAAGATTCAAGAGCTATGGATAGAAACAAATAAATTATTTTCAAACCCAAGACAACTATAACTGTCTATAACGGATGCTTATTTTTGTGTTCATACATAACTTTCCCTAATCCAAGCATAAGGTGTATCAAGACTTATTAAAAGGTTTTTCCGTTTTTAATGATAATAAGGAGAATTCCTACCAGAGAAGACAGACCACTAGATACCCATGACTAAGCCCTAAAGGGCTGTAAAGACCATTGCCAGCACTTTGAAGGAGATACAGAAACAGCCTGGAAGCCCATATAATTGTTTAAGAGAACTTTCGCATTTCCAGTTGGCCCTGTTAACAGTTTTGCTTTCACATGATGAAAGCTTCTGGACACCTCAAAAGCAGCCCTATGTCAAACATGTTCCAGTAGTGGAGAAGTGATGTGAACAGAGAACGTGTCGCCATGGGCTGGATCTGCTTTCTCTGCTTTTGTTTCAGGACGCATGGAAAAAGCTTCCTGTTTAACTGCAAAGAAATAGGGAGGAAGCCTCCAACCTTTGGAGATGCATCGATCATTGCCTTGGAGCTGCTTAATTCCGGATACGAGTTCGACGAGGGAACAGTCATCTACAACCGATTCAGGCAAGAGAAATGATTATGTTCTTCCCTAACACGGGGTGAGACTAAATCTCAGGATGTTAAAAAAAATGTTGTCTTTATTCTGATTTCAAAATGCTCAATGTGTTTCAGCACACAGCCTTCCTCGAGAGTATGGGTAGAAACAGAAATAAATTATTTGCACACTCAAGACAACCAGAACTGTCTATAATGGATGCTTATTTTTGTATTCATACGTAACTTTCCCTAATCCAAGCATAAGGTGTAACATAACTTTCCCTAATCCAAGCATAAGGTGTATCAAGACTTATTAAAAGGTTTTTCCGTTTTTAATGATAATAAGGAGAATTCCTACCAGAGAAGACAGACCACTAGATACCCATGACTAAGCCCTAAAGGGCTGTAAAGACCATTGCCAGCACTTTGAAGGAGATACAGAAACAGCCTGGAAGCCCATATAATTACTTTAAGAGAGCTTTCACATTTCCAGTTGGCCCTGTTAGCAGTTTTGCTTTCACATGATGGGCCCGTTGAAGCTTCTGGACACCTCAAAAGCAGCCCTATGTCAAACATGTTCCAGTAGTGGAGAAGTGATGTGAACAGAGAACGTGTCGCCATGGGCTGGATCTGCTTTCTCTGCTTTTATTTCAGGACGCATGGTAAAAGCTTCCTGTTTAACTGCAAAGAAATAGGGAGGAAGCCTCCAACCTTTGGAGATGCATCGATCATTGCCTTGGAGCTGCTTAATTCCGGATACGAGTTCGACGAGGGAACAGTCATCTACAACCGATTCAGGCAAGAGAAATGATCATGTTCTTTCCTAACACGGGGTGGGGTTGCTTTTAAAGGGAACAAGTGTCTGTGTGTCTGTGTATAGATGGGCAGGCCAGCTCATACGAGATCACGTTGATCAAGTCTTTTTGGTGTCTGGTTCACCAAATCAATAGGCAGGTTGCAGAGGGTCCAGGCGTGGGAACCCTGTTTCCCTCTCCCAATGTGGAATTCATTTAATGGGTCCAAAGAGGTGAAGTTCTGAAGTCCTGTCCATTTGAGCATTTCAACCCTATGAAGTCGTAGCAAAGCTTTGAAATGCCATCGTCTCCAAAGTCGACTGTTATTCCGTGAGACAACAGTCATGCTGAGGGTATGAGGGGCTGGGTCATATTGTCACCCTCTTCTGTCTGATGGTCCAGTTTGCTTGAAAGAGCTGCACAAGCCCACCGTGGATACTTCTGCAGGATCTGAATGCTAACTGCATTAGATGAAGCTTTGCTTGATTTTCAGGAGGAGGAAATGAAAAGGAAAAAAAACTAGCCAGAGCAACATTGTGGAATCTGCTCTGGCCTTACCCAAGGCAGGGTCCCTTGCTCACCGACTTGTCCTCCTCCCGGTTGCATAGATTGAATTACTCCTATCATTTCAAGGCTGTCCTTCCACAAGCAGCCGAAGACCTTTCTCTTCAGGCAGTCGTTTCCTTAACAATTGACTTGACTAGGAGAGGTTTTTAAATGGGATAGTTTGCATTTTGTTGCTTCTAAATCTGTTTTGATTCCAAGTGTGGTGTAGTGGATAGATCCCGACAAATACAAAGGGATGAATATTGCCCCCCCCCGGCGGTAGCATGGGGGGCGGTGGGGGTCAGTTTTTTTAAGTAACCCCCCCCCCCACAAATTTATAAATAAATTCGTGCTTCGACGGTTCATGGGGGCAACTTTGTGAGTCATCAACTTTTGACGACTCATGAAGCAGGACAACTCACCAAAAACGGTGAGTCATCCCCATCTCTAGTATGTATACATATATGTATGAGTAAATAAATGAATGAGTGAGCTACAGCCAGGAAGCAGGAGTATATTGAGCACAATTAGATGCTAAGCTTCCAGAAAATTTAAGCAAGTAAAGCAAAAAAGCAAAGTGTGCTGTTTATATACCACCACATAGTGCTCAAATCACTGTTTAGATGAGTTACCATTCAGTTATTCAGGGTACATATGTGTTGTCCCCCACCCTATGAGCTGAGTACTCAATTTTTCAATCTCATAAGGATGGAAGGTTGTGTCCACCTCGAGCCAGCTATCTGGGATTGAATCTGAGCGGTGAGCAGAGTTTTGGCTGCAGTGCTGCACTTTAACCACTGTGCCGCAAGGCTCTCTGCAAGCGAGCGGAGTTCCATACTAGAAGGAGCAGGCTGGAATGAGAGCAATCCAGTGTGTCAGTAAATTTAGATTTCATCTTGGAATAACCACCTCCAATCAGACGGAGTGAAGTTGTGCAAAATGCTTTTGGCATATCTGAGCAAAGAAAGAGTGCAAAATTAGGAAGACGGGTTCTTTCAAGCCAATAGAGCGTTCAAAATAACTTTTATTTTTTTCCTTTAGATCTGTAATTTCTTACAGAACAGATGAGAAACCAATCTATTCACTTGAAACGGTCTCGGGTGCTGGTAAGTCCAGAAGTAACATTTGGTAAATTACCGAGTAGATATTTGGAGTTTTATTTCATTGGATGAACAGAGCTGGCAAAGTGGTGCATGCGAAGAGTAGAGAACTAATGCGCACAAAGTGCAGAACCAAGGAAACTATAGACAGGATATGTAACTTTAAGGTAACTACAGTTGAGTATATTGTGAGAAAATGGTCACCTCATTCCGTTAAGGAAACAGAGTATTAAAAATAACATTTCAAGGCTTTCTTGAATGCCAGTGTTGAAGAGGCCGTGGTAATATTTGATAGGAAGTCTTTCTCAATTGTGGGAGATCGCCAAGAAGGCCGTCTCTCCTACGTTTTCAACCTACTTAGTCACTGCTGGACAGACAGGTGAGACTCCCAAAGTTGTTGGATAGCTCAGTGGTTTAGGCCAGTGGTCCCCAACCTTGGCGCTCCAGATGTTCTTAGGCTACAACTCCCAGAAGGCTTCACCACCACTTCTCTTGACCAGGATTTCTGGGAGTTGAAGTCCAAGAACATCTGGAGGGCCAAGGTTGGGGACCACTGGTTTAGGCATTTTCTTCCACATGCTGAAACACAGTAACACAGCTGCTCTTCGAAATCTACTACCATTGCAAACATTTTGTTCTCATTTTGCCCTCAGCTTCAAACAAGCCTTCTCCCAAGCAATACTTTTGCCAGCAAACCGTTTTGTAGCATAAAAAGAAGGACTATCTATGAGAATAAACAGAACATGATCAATAATGAGATATTATACCAAGACAGCAATCCAAACATATACTTTTATCTGCAGTGAAAATGAGCAGAAAAGACAGGGGGAAAATACTAGGAAATATATAACCTCCTAAGGTACAGTGGGGTCTCGACTTACGAACGATTCTACATATGAACTTTCCGACTTACGAACCCGCCCAATAGGAAATTACATACTCAACATAAGAACTTCCCTCGAGTTGCGAACAGGAAAAAAAGTGCCCCCTCCCTCCCCTTAGAGGCTTCTGGAGGGGAAAAAAGGGTCAGAAAATTAAAAATAAATAAAAGAAAGTCACTTACCAGGCCTTGGTAGCCCCTAAACAGCAGGAAAAAGAGCAGGAAACAGCTAAAAGCCGACACCCAGAAGGGAGCCTGGCAGCCATTTTGTGCTTCCCCCCCCCCTCCTGCACCCTCCTCTCCCCGCCTATCAGCTGATGGGCTGGCTCTGAAGAGGCTTTGGGAGGCTTGCTCAGCACCTAAAAAACCTGCCTGTGTATCACGACATGCTTTAAAACATGCTATAAAATTGGCTTCGTTGAAAAAAAAATTTCTAAAGTGCTTTGCAAACTGTTCCCTGCCTTCTTACTCCTTTCCTGAACCTAAGGGAAAAAAAGAAAAAAATATCCCCCTCTAGTGGCAGAAGGCGGAATAGCAGCTTCCCATTAGTTTCTATGGACTGAAAAGAGCAGATACGAATTAAATGGTTTTCAATGCATTCCTATGGGAAATGCAGATTCGACCTAAGAACTTTTCAACCTAAGAACCACCTTCCAATACGGATTAAGTTCGTAAGTCGAGACCCCACTGTACTGGCGTTATGCTCCCAGCTCATAAGACCACCACCTTCTCCATGTTCAGTCTGAGCATGCTCTTCATCTCGAAACTGCCTCTAAGCACCGTATCGGTCAGTCTCGCCGCCTCTCTGGAATTTGAAGGCAGAAAAGAGAGGTGTCATTACTGTATTGTTGGTAGTAAAACCCAGCTCTCCAGATAGCTTCTTCCAGTGGCTCCATAGAGATGTTGAAGAACATGAGGGAGTGAGATGGGAACCTGAGATAGCCTTGGGAGGGAGCAAAATTTACTTGAGTGCCACATTCTGATTACGATCATCCAAAAATGACTGGAGCCATTGTGGTGCCTTGCCTCTCAGGTGCAGAATAGGGCCCATGGAGGGTGGGATGGGGAGGCATAGTGTTACAGTGCCGGACAAAGACACTGTGGTGTCAGAGGTGTCGAAATCTGCTGAAAGTTACAGCAGCACTTAAACCACTTACAATTCTACCATCAGATCTTCAGCATAAGTCATTTACCAGGACGGCCAACTATCTGTTCCCGAATCAGATGGGAAATTGTCTAACTGAACATTTGTTCTCAGAGGCGAGAGGCCACCGTTCTGTCTAGCACTTTTACCCTCAAAGGATTGATTAGAGAATGGGTAATATGTCAGGACACACATGTTCACAGGGGATCAGTTTCAAGCCCCTGCCAAGATGCTGAAAAACATAGATTATAGGGGCCATTTTAATAGGAAACACTATACTGTACATGGTCTCTGGCTCCCTCTATTGGCCAGTTCTGGTAACTTCATATTCAGAAATACATATACAGTGGTGCCTCGCTTAATGAGCGCACCGTATAACGATGAAATCGCATAGCGATTAGTTTTTTGCGATCGCAAATGCGATCGCATACCAATGGCCTCTATGGCCGAAATTCACATAGCGAAGATCGGTAAGCGTTTCGCTTACCGACCTTCACTTTGCGACCCGCGGATGGCTGCCGGCCTGGGTCCAAAATGGCCGCCCCAACAGCCGAAATGGCCGCGCACAGTGTTTTCGTGCACTCGTTAAGCGAGGGGAGGGCGCGAAAATGGCTGCCGGCTATGGGAAGGCTTCATTAAACCGTGAATTTTCAGCCAATTTGGAATTTCCAATGGCTTTTTTTGTTTCGTTTAACAAAGTATTCACATACGAAGGTTAATCCGGAATGGATTAACCTCGCTATGCGAGGCACCACTGTATTTCAAGGATTTTTCTTTTAATATTTTCGAACCGTGGATAAGTAAATCCGTGAATATTGCTCTCATGGATAAGGGGCTCCTACTGTAGTTGCTAGAAGTCTTTAGTAGAGACTGCGCTACCATTTCGTTAAGAACAGCCACGGCCCCGTGCTTTAACAGGGAAAGTAAGAACTGCAGATTTAGAAGTCATGGATCTTCTACTAGTCTTTGAAACTGCAGAAGCTGCTCATAGTTGGACGGCTAGGACGCTGATAATTTTTCTAAGCTCATAAAACTTGGCCTTGTTCTTTATTCTTGCTTTTGCAGAAAGCATTAGTATTTATGACGATATTGATGCTGACGTCCTGCGAAACTACCAGGAGTTCACCTTGGCCAACATTATCTTCTACTCGCTGAAGGAGTCTACCACCAGCGAACAGAGCGCTAGGATGACTGCCATGGACAACGCTAGCAAAAACGCTTGTAAGCACAAGCTGCTGCAGTTTTTCAGGGCGAAAACATGGCAGTCGTAGCAGACGCTGCCAAGAAAGTTTGATTAGAGATGAAGCAGGTTACAGTCCACGTCTCTGGATGGGCAACCTCAGAGAATCTGGAGGCCATTTATGCCCCCACCCACACCATAATGGGCTGATTTCTGGGTGGGGAAAAAGTTCCCCAGATAATAAAGTGTGTCTCCAGAAACCTTGGGGAAGGGGAGGGTTTAACACTGGAGTCTAATTTCTGTCCACCTTGTTCTATTTATTTATTTTATTTATTTATTAAATTTATACCCCGCCCCTCTAGACCATGTCTACTCCATTTCTAGGCTGGAAATGGTGTTTTTGAAAGATACCTGTTGAAAAGGTCTTTTCTATTCTAAAATAGGCCTGACAACTGTTTTTGACATTACAATTCAGCGGCAAATCCCTTCCTTACCACTTTCTGAGGTTGTAAAATTTACTGTTGGAGGGGCAGTAGATGTGGGGCAGGGTGATCAGGAAGGGGGCCACCCTGAGGGCTCGGGAGCTGCCCTTATACTTAAAAGGTAGCTCTTTGAGCCCTGATCTCCATATAGGTTGAAAGAGCGATCTTTCTAATATTGCTTTAGAAAAGACCCTTGACTTTTGTTCTGCTTGGGAGTTAGTCCCACTGGATGTAGGAGGACCTGCTTTTAAGTAGCAGGGATAGGATACTGCACATGCTCTGAAAAACCCATATGTGTTTCTGATGGTTAATCCTGACTCCTTATTGGACTCCTGTTTCTCCTTCCACTGTCACTGTCACCCCTAACTGTGTGAGCTCCAAATGTAGATGGATCAGAAACTTTCTCTTAGAATGGAGACGAGTGATCTTCATAGGGTCGAGGGCTATTTTTCAGATTCGTTGGCAACCTGGGGGCCCCCTTTCCAAGGAGGTGGGGCTCATGGTGCTAGTTTGTATATCTGCCTTTTAAAAATAGATTATAAAGATTGCTACCGTGGAGTTTGGTTAAACAAAAATGGATTTAATGTGGAAAGGAGGGTTGATTGAGCATCCGCCTTGCAGTCTCCAGTGCCCGATTTTTAAAAATTAAATTGGGGGACACGGGCATCCCAGAAGTCCTGCAGGTTCCCTAGCGGAATTGCCCATCCAGTTCCCGCAGAGGACACAAAGGAACTTCATCGTCATTTTGAAATGGGGGTAGGTGTGGGGATGTTGCAAAATGGCTCTTCAGAGCCGTACATGGTCCATCTCGCCTTAGAAAATGTGGCCCTCCATTTAATGAAAATGTCCTTAAATCTGGTGGAGACATGGTGTTGGAATCTAACTCTCATCATCCCTAACTATGTCAACATAGAGTCCATACCCTCAGCTTTACTGAGTCGGGCTTGTGATCAATTACCCGCTAAAATCTGGTCAGGGCCTGCCTTGCTCCTGAGTCCTGTAAGCGAGGATCAACAGTAAAGGTGGGCAGGCAGCGAGAACCTTAATGATGTACTATTGATGTGAGCAGATGCAAGATCTGTGCGTTGCCTTGGTGCAGTCTGTTAAGATGAGTTATTGCACCAACTTCAGTAACTGTGAGCTAGCCAAAATTCCTTTGGGGAAATAGAAGGCGGAGTAATTTTCTCCTGTTATACGTTCTCTTTTCTCAGATGAATGTGTATCTGTATATTGAAGCCCTGGAATTAATCACAGGAAGTTGTCTGTGGAGGAACTGGGCATATTTAGCCTTGAGAAAAGGAGACTGGGGAGAGATAGGATAGCATTTTTCAAACACTTGAAAAGTTGTGCTACAGAGGAAGGCCAGGAGCTGTTCGCAATCATCCCAGAGTGCAGGACACGTAATAATGAGTTCAAGCTACAGAAAATCAGATTTAGGCTGAATATAAGGAAAAACATCTTAACTGTTAGAGTGGTACGACAATGGCAGCAATGACCTTGGGAAGTGGTGAGCGCTCCAGTGCTGGAGGCATTAAAGAGAAAATCTGACAATCATCTTTCAGGTATACTTCGATTTGGACTGAGCAGGGTGTTGGACTCGATGGCCTTATAGGCCCCTTCCAACTTCATTATCCTATGAATCTATGAAAAATGTGGGTATCAGCTATGGGCTGAAATCATGGCTAGTAGGTGCTTGATACTGTGCTCTTGTTTACATTCAGTAGATCAATAGCATTTCACCAGCTTTGGGGGGGGCATAAAGGTAGATGCACCTCCAAGTTACAGTTCTGAATAAAGTAAGATGTAGATAACAGAACAAAGTAATGGAAATAAGGCACAAAGAGAATCTCTGGGCAGCTGATTAGGTTCTTGTCCTTTTGCCTCCTGACATGCCCTCTCTCTTTGTAGCCGAGATGATTGACAAGCTGACGCTGACATTCAATCGTACTCGCCAAGCTGTCATCACCAAGGAACTTATTGAGATCATCTCCGGTGCTGCGGCTCTGTAAGTAGTATCTGTAATGTGTATGCTGCATACATATCTGTAATGTGTATGCAGACCTTCCTTTGTCTGTGCTGTTGGAGGTAGGGAGAGAGGAGGGGGAAAAGAAAGGCAACAGTGAAGTTACAAATTCTTCTTTCTGACTGGCTTTAAAAATACCAGGGACTAACAGCACATGGCATTCTTTGGGGACTCCCCGTAATTTGAAACTTGCTACAGTGGCTCATGCGGAAGCTGTTCTAACGACACTATTTTCTCTGAGTTTTACTTCTAAGCAATACATGCACTCCCCCTTTTTTAAAAAATGTATTTCTCTAGCCTACACTTAATCTAACTGCATCAGATCCTCAGTGCTGAGACATGGTCTTTGTGAACGTGCTGCAGATGATTCTGCTGGATCTGGCCATTTAGTCTCATGTTGTGATCACCATAGCAGCCAACAAGGTGAACCCCATGAGCAGGGCAGGAAAGCAGCAGCTGGAACTGCTGCTATTCCCTACCAATGTGAATATTAGGAAAAACTTATTAACTGTTAGAGCAGTATGAGAATGGAACCAATCACCTTGGGAGGTGGTGAGCGCTCCAAAGCTGGAGGCGTTTAAGAGGAATTTGAGCAACCCTGTGTCAGATCTGCTTTGATTTGGATTCTTGCCTTGAGCAGGGGGTTGGACTTGATGGCCTTAGAGACCCCTTCCAACGCAACTCTTCTAGGATTCTATGTGTACTCAGTAATATACTGTTTCTGAGCATGCAGGTTTTCTATATTTGCCATAGCCAATAACCATATTAGCTACTGGCTTTTCTTGGGAATCAGTTTCGGGGGGAAGGAATTATTATTTTTTTTGGTGAAGTAAATTCCATAAACCAGTCCTGCACTGGTTGACTGGCCTGTTTCTTGAAAAGCTTTAATCACAGCTGAACTTGGGACCAAGCTATTTGCAAAAAACAAAAGCCAGCCTTCAGCCTGTACCTGAAACAGCATCCTTTAAGCTGCAACAAAAATTATATATAATATTGTGTAACATGGAAAATATTTGTGCCTTTAATCCATTTCAGCAGCTGATTTCGGCAACTTAATTTTAACGTGAATTTTAACATGTTTGTGTTGCTGCTTTGCAAAGCATGTTTTGTTCAATCACATTACCTGTCCTGCCCTAACCAACGTTGCTTAATGCTCCACGGCATGTTTTGTTCTTCTCTTTTATCAACCCTGCAACTAGGAACTAAGGGGCTAATCAGAAATGAGTTTCATCCAGAGTCAACAGGTAAAGTAATGATATAAATTAGATGTATGGTGGAGGGGGGAGCAGAGAAAAGAACTAACAAAAATGTATTCAAAGGAAGGTGCTCTTTGGATGGTTTTTCCTTTGTTCTAAAATAGCTGCTTACGAACTATTGCATGGATACTTGCATTGTGCAACCTGTTTTAACTTAATGACACTTGTGTAGTAGAGGTGCCCATGAGGTGCAGCGTCTGTAGAATAAAGATGGGCATGAACTGCCAATTCGTTTATCAGTAAAAAGGTGCTTGGCATTTCCCTGGCCTGCCTCCGCTGGCAAATGGCCACCAAGAGGCAACATCCCAGCTTCCCTGCCCCGCCTCCTCTGGGTGCTGCCTCTGAGGCAGGGTTGGGAAGCGCCAAACACCCGTTTGGCCGATAAACGAACTGCCGGTTTGTGCCCATCTGTACTCTCAAATCAAACATGGGAAATCTCGTTCCACCCGAAGGCCTAATTCAATTTTAAAGAAGTTATTTGGGGGAGCAGTCTGGTGTTGGATGAAGCTGGGGGTGAAAGGGCAGGATTCAGAGTACTCGTAGATGTCAGCAATGAATTAGTAAAAAGGTTAGAAGTCAGTGTAGGGATCTGATACTGCATGCCAGCCATGTAACTCAGTGTGTGATAGCAAATGCCTAGCTGGCTTCTTAACCTCTTGCAACTTGTCATGGAAATTTACGCTGATGGAGTTACACCGACATAAATATACAGCAGAATTCTAGCCACTGTATTAACAGAAATATTAAAAGTGTTGTTCTCAGCAGTTCGTGATCCCTTTTTGTTCATTTACCATCCTTTATTAAAGATTTTATTCCTAGTTTTCACTGTGGAACCTATGCAATGAAAGTATAACTTGTTGGAGTACGGCAAAACCTGTTGTTGTTTTTTTGGCATAATATTTGCTTCTGATTCTGTGGAACAGGGAAAACATTTTAAGAAGATACAGAAGTGAGCCAGGAGGGTGTTTAAAAGAAGTTTGTTTTAAGGAGCCAGAGTGGGCAGTAACATAGTGGAAATTCTGTCAGAACTATGTTCAAACTTACCCTAACGCACTATCTTTGTTTGCAGGTAATGAGGCGATCTCCCGGCAAGCTGTTTGTTTCATGTCCTTTCTAGAGAGTGACTACTGTTGGTGGATCATTCTGTGAAAAAAAAAATTCGGGCAAAGAACCTCCAGCTGTTTGTAAACTGTATTTCAATAAATGCCTAACATGAAAGAGCTGGCGTGCTTTTTTGGTGTGTTACTCTTGAGACCGCTGGAGGGAAGTACAAGTTAACAGACGTCTCTTGTGTTGTCAAGCTCATATTTCCTTCCTCATAAAAGGATGTTGAAAAGTGTTGTGTGTGTAGATATATTTAAAAAGTAAGGGTTCCAGGATATAAACCACCAGAAAGGGTGTTGTAGCCAAACTTTTAATGGAAGCTAAGAAAAACTGCATTTTTAAAACATTCATTTAATTGTATGAAAAATTTTTGGTAGATACTTTGTTGTTAAATATATTAGCAGAGGCTCATGTTCATATTCCATCCATTTACATGCAAAAATATTAATTTTGCGGTCAAAGTACCTAAAGAGCTGGTAATTGTTAGTCCAGTTGAACAGGGATTATATTGGCCTTCTCATTTCATTCATGAAATGACTGTTTTTTTAACCATATTTAGCAATTCAAAATCAAATACCTTGACATAAATTTAGTACGTCAGGTTTCAAACGCACTTGAAACAATGTCTTCTTTGGGCAAAGAAGTAAAACTGGGCTAATGCTGAATCTAATTGGTGGTCCCAGTTAGAGCAAATCCACTGAATATGGCTGAAGTCCTGTTTCTTTATGTAGTCAACTGCACTAGAGGAGGCCCACTGAATGGCTGGGAATTTGGTTCTTTAAGTTCCATTGATTCAAATGTAGTTTAGAAAAAAATTGCAACTAGAGTAGGTCCATTTGAATCAGTGGAACTTGTGGAGGAGTAGACTGATCAGTAGGTCTGCTCTAGTGTAACATATGACACTAAGCCACAGGATTTCATTCAATAGGTTTTGCAAATGCGTTGATTCAGATTTCAACAGTTGATTTAATTGGCCTCTCATAGAAGGACCACTTGCATTTACGCCAAAGTCAGCACATACTAATATATAAAAATGACACGTATACCCATTAAACAAAACATGCTATGCAAGTTTAATACACTTAAATATAAATAAATATGTTGTTTTTATAAGAAGTATGCAATTTATACAGGGTCAGTATATTAGCTATAAAACAGCTTAGTGCATTTCTAATATTACATAAAAATTATTAAACAGTATGATGGGGGGATGTTCGGGGACAACCTCAACTGCAAGACTCGTGCTAAGAAGGGAGAGGGTATAACCAAATGGCAGCACGGCTGCTGAATCAAACCCAAGTGCCTTTTTGAAGAAACACAATGATCAGTGCAGCTCTTAACTGGGTGCCATTTCTCATACGTTGCTGCCTGCTGAAGACGACACGGATTCTCTGTGGTGGGAAGGACTCTTGTGATACTTAACTGTGCTACAGTTTGCTGTGGATGTATAAAATATATGCAGTAGTCTGGAATTGTTTGCAGTTGGATAGAAAGAGTTGTTTCTGTGTGGGCTAGGCAAACATGTTCCTTGAGAGCTGGGCATGTCTGCCGCTGGCCCTCTGGCTAGTTAGTCTACTGCTGCTATGGCCATAGCATTCACAGAAGTAGCTAAGCAAGTGGCCCTACAGCGCCAAGACAGCCAATCCATTGAACGCGATCCCATACCAGAATACCCTCCAGAAACGAAGCAGGGGGGAAACTAGCAGATCTAGTACAAAGCTGGCCCAGAACACTTGCCTCTAGCATGCTAGATTTTTTTTAAAAAGAGAACTTCACGTGAATTCCCATCTGCCACTGATACTGTCCAGACAGAGGTCTAACATGTAGATAAACACTAGGGCTTTAATCCATCTTGTTAGACCCATTGAATCAGTGTAATTTAGAGCAGTTGAGTGTATGGGAGAAAGGCGGCCTAAAAAGGCATTTAATTAATTAATCAATCCTCTTGTTGGAACTACCAATTGGATTTCGTCCAGTTTTTTTTTTATCCTACGTAGTGCTCTAACAAAGCTGGCCAATATGGGACTAATTCTCTCTTCTCTGTATCCGTTGGCCTGTTTCTCTCATTAATTAAAAGCAATTGTGAGAGATTACATTTCTCTTCCCACCATCCCAGGTTTGCTCTAAACTTGGATTTGAAGTGTAATTCTGACGAGAAGGGGAATTATTCTAGCCCAGGCATGCTTTAAAATGGGACAAACGCCCAGCTTCTTAGCTAGCTTGAAAGAAAGGAAATTGCCGGTAGTTACTGATAGCTAACACGAGGGGGGAAATTTGGCGAACTTCTGCCCCTTTTAAAATATTAGCTTAAAAAATATAATCCTTCATGGAAAATTAAGGCTGCCTCTTGAAGAGAAGGAATTGGATCCTTTTAATGCCAAAACTATCCAACTGTCATTTTTAATGTGTTCAGTTTTGCATGCATACGAAGGAAATTGCCGGTAGTTACTGATAGCTAACACGAGGGGGGAAATTTGGCGAACTTCTGCCCCTTTTAAAATATTAGCTTAAAAAATATAATCCTTCATGGAAAATTAAGGCTGCCTCTTGAAGAGAAGGAATTGGATCCTTTTAATGCCAAAACTATCCAACTGTCATTTTTAATGTGTTCAGTTTTGCATGCATACGGGAGAGACGACTCTCCTTTGGAAAAAAAAAAAAACCTGAACATGTGTTCTTTCAATTAAAGCTGTCTGGAGCCAGCTTGATGTTCCTTTAAGCTTCAAGCTACACCAGAAAATGTTCTTAATTGAACATGGTACAACCTAGAGGAGCACAGGAAAGGTTGCATATGCTGTTTGAGAAGGATGATGGGAGTTGTCATTTTAACATACTTGGAGAGCAACTGACTGGGGAAAGTTGGACTTTGGCAATTCAGCCAGATCCCTGTTTAGCCCTCAAGCTCAGTAGAGAATCGGGCAAACTGTTGTCTTTGAGCGTTGCAGCAAAAGCAAAACAGCCTTGTGTACTTTAAAACCTTACAGGTTTTATTGGGTACTGTATTAGCTCTTATGGATTGTAGCTCTATTCTTCAGGCATCGGCGTGGGCATGGGAAAAAAATTGCCAAATCTGTCCTGGGTTACCCAAAGTTGGGAACCACTGAAGTAGAGAATACGAACTGCCGTTTTTGGTAATTTCTAAGAATCAATAATGTTTGAGAGATAGGATTATTTTGGCACAAATGGTTAGGGTATAGAGAGGATCGCTAACACATTCTCCCATCTTTGATTTCCAGAAATATTCTTATTGTTTTGACTTGTATACCACCCCATAGTGCTGCAGCATTCTCTGCAAAGTTTACAGCCTAATTATGCAAGCCACACTCCTTTTACTGAACTTGGAAGGAAGGAAGGCTGAGTCAACCTTGAGCCGGCTACCTGTATTTGTTGGGATTGAACTCAGGTTGCGAACAGAGGCTAAGCTCCAGTTTAACCACTGTAGCATGGGGCTCATAAATAGAGTTGGATCATAGTGCTTCCACTATCCTGAGTGGGGCTATGCCATATCATAACACAGTGCTACAAGCCTACCTGATACCTGACAGCTACACATCCCATGAATAAGATTTTAAAAATCTGTGCACCTCTTACAAAGAGGCTTCCCCGTCTTCAGGAGTGGTGCACGAGCAGGTTATGACAAGATAAAATGTGGATCCAAATTGTTTCCAATTGTGGGAAACCATCATCGGCACTGAATAGCAAAAAATGGTGAGTTGTGGAAAATCGGAGTGTGTTTCCTTAAAAAAACAAACAAACCCAACTTAACTAGGAAAAATAACATAAAAGGGAAGTATCTAGATATCAGTGGTTTATTTATTTATTTATTTATTGTTGGGACTATAGTTCCCAGAAATCCTGGCCATCCCTGCTCGTGGCGAAGGATTCTGGGAGTTTTAACAAAAGAACATCTGGGGACCCAAGGTTGTGAACCGTGGATCTAGACCAGTGGTTCTCAAACTGGGCTCCCCAGATGTTCTTGGACTAAAACTCCCAGAAGCCTTCACCCCTAGCTGTGCGGGCCAGGATTTCTGGAAGCTGTAGCCTGAGAACATCTGGGAACCCAACAGTTGGGAGCCACTGCTTGAGAGGCTCACCTAGACATTCCCCATTGCTGCTGGTCCTGCTGTTGAGCAGAATGAGCCCAACTGCCTCCATGCACAGATTTTGCAGGAAAAGCAAATTGATCCCCCCCCCTTTTTTTAGCATACTGTTACCCATTACTAAGAAACACTGTAAGTAAACAGAACTGTAAGTAAACAGAAATAATATATTTGCGAAGGCTTTCACGGCTGGGATCTAATGGTTGTTGTGGGTTTTTCATGCTCTTTGGCCATGTTCTGGAGGTTGTTCTTCCTAACGTTTCGCCAGTCTCTGTGGCCGGCATCTTCAGAGGACAGCACTCTGTGCTCTCCCGTATGCATGCAAAACTGAACACACTAAAACTCTGACCTACTCAAAATGGGCTAAAACTTCATCAGTTTTGGAGACATGTTACTTTTTCCATTGTGTGACAACACTGTCGTACTACAATTTAGACAACATTTCAACTTAGATAATCTTTTATTCTTCTTCATGGCCTCTGTGAATACACACATATGGGTTTAGTCTGCGCCTGCACTGACATTCTCGGAAAGACTAAACCCATATGTTTGAATTCACAGAGGTCCACTCGAAGAACCATGGTTACAGGTAAGTAACCTTTCTTTATTTTGCAGTTATACAATCTTACCATCACTTTGCTGCCCTTCATCTTTTTTCTCCAGCTACATTTTCTTCCAGTAATGTTCTCAGGTGAACATGCTGTTAAACTGACAGCATTTCAGTAGCATCTCTCAACTGCATTGAATACAATCCACCTCCACTATTCATTAGTAACTTCTGTGCATAGTCCTTAAGGTGGATGGAAGACATGAGGGTAGAAAAATGTGTATTTTGAAAGCTCAGCTGAAGAATTTATAGTAAACAATGCCTGCTAAAATGGCTACCTCCAAAATGATAATAACTGAGAGTAACAGTTTGTTTGTCATGAGCCTAGAAAGAAAAAGGGAATATGGGATTACTTACTGTTGTAAAAAACATCTGACAATACCATCCATCCAAATCACTAAGATAAATT